TGGGATCATGACCTGAGCTGAAAGCAGACGCTTAACCGACTGAGCCACCCAGGCGCCCCGAGGTTATGGTTTCTAATATACTTAGACACAGAATAGATATATGTGTGCATGTGTATTTACTCACACCCATGTGTGTATATAAATATAAATATATCTCTTAGTTCTGTCAGCTGAGAGGGGTTGGAAGCAGTGACACCCTGCTTCCCTGCTTCCCAAATATCGTTCTTCACTAGGAGGAAACAGAGCTACGTGGGATAGGGCTGATGTTAGGCTGGTACAGGGAAAGTACAGGATGAGTTTGGAACTTCTTACGGCAGAAATAAGGAATGTAGTCAAAGGATGATGAGGACACATCAAAGCACACATGAGTCAGTTTGTCCAAATCTGGGACAGTTTGGGGATCAAGATAAATAATGATTGGCAATAGATCATAACCCACTGAATAAAATGGAAATTAATGAGTTAATATGATATATATAAAAAGGTGATGGGAAGTAAAAGCTTTTCCTTACAGTAGAATGCCTACTAGTAACTATGGAAGGAATGATGGAGAACTGCCATCGTGGTAGCAACTGATATAGGCGAGGGTCATCAATGGATGCCAAGAGCCACGGGTGCTTTTATGCTTGCGACTGGCTCAGAAAGAAAGAGCAAGTGAGCAAATGAATGCCAATGACTGGGGAGTCTTGATGAAGAGTATTTGAGGGTGTTTTTTTAGTATCATTTTATTTTACAGACTTATTGAGATATAATTCACATGCCATACCGCTCACCCACTTGAAGTGTACAATGCAGTGGTCTTTCTTATATTTATGGAATTGTGCAGTTATCACCACAATCAATTTTAGAATATTTTCATCCCCCCCCAAAAGAAACCCTTTACTCACAAGCAGTCACCCTTGCTTCTCCATCTTTGTCTTTTTTTTTTTTTTTTAAGATTTTATCTGTTTATTTGGCAGAGAGAGAGAGAGCATAGAGGGGAGAGGGAGAAGAAGCAGGCTTCCTGCTGAGCAGGATCCCGGGATCATGACCTGAGCCGAAGGCAGACGCTTAACGAATGAGTCACCCAGGCACCCCTCTCCATCTTTCTTAATTCTTGCAAATTTTTGAGAGTTGGAAATCTATTTTTTATTTTTATTTTACGTAGACTCCTCAGCCAGCCTAGAGCCGGTACCAAGAGTTGGTCGCTTAACCAACTGGGCTACCTAGACGCCCTGATAATTTAAAAATTTTTATTTTTAATTTTTTAAAAAATATTTCTTTTTTCATGGGAAAAAGACA